GGAGAAAAACGTTCTAATTAATTTCATCATCTCTCACGTTCATTCATCTGAAATAAGATTAATAAATATTGTTTAGTCGCAAGGTATGCTTATACAAGCATGTGTATGTATATACATCCGTATTTCTTTTCACTAAAACAAGTTTTTATTGTTTCGTCTATCACCAAAAAGAAAGCTTAATAACTTTTGTATAGTTATGTTCAAAAATACTTGTTTGAATTTAAAAATTCAATGTTTTATACTTTTGAAAAAGTAGTATGAACTTAAAGGGAATGTAAAAATAATAAATTATGTGTTAATTTTCTAAATATAAACTGCTTTTAAGTAGAAATGTCCTTTTTTACAAAATACTATTTTAATCTCAAACTTGTTGTTAGTCTTGTATTGTCTGCCATTCGTTGGATATTTCATTGTATAATGGTAATTTTCCTTTCGAAATGGTTTTTTTTTGTGTTAAAAACTCAAAAGCAATAAAATTAACAAGAAAGGCGTTATGTATTTGTTTGTGTATATGGGCTATTTAACTGTAATATTTGCTTTCTATATATATGGTGATATTATGCTGATATATATACCCACTTACATAACAATAACATTAAGTTAACATAAAATTACTTTAGGTAGATATATTTTAAGTTCTTTTAAATTGAAATATGTAGTACATACATATGTACATACATACATTGAATATATAAAATAGGGATAAGTATAGGTTTGTATTATATAAAATATAAAAACGCAGAAATCAGAGTAGTTAACCGAAAATAGCTTTAAAGGCAATTTACCATAATGCTTTTTTTCCGGCACGGTCATAAGTAATGTACTAACTCACAGTGATACCAATTATTTTTGTACAATCTTAGAATATATTTATATTTCATTGTTAGATTGCGTATACATATGTATTTAATTATTGATGGTACATAGATATGTTTTCTGCTACATATTATTTTTTATTAACATTTATAAGATGAAAACGATTGTAGCTTTATAATACATAACTGTTATTCTTTTGGATACAACGGTAACCATTTAAACATTTTGTTGCTTTTTCTTTATTGGTTTCCACATAATTGGAAAGATTTTTCGTTTTTTTTTAAGGTTTCCTCTTAACTGTATTTTGACGCTCTTATTTAGTGTAAATTAATAGAAGACAAGCATTTTTTCCATATTCTTTTAAGGATATTGTTTTTATGAGTCCTCTTTTAGAATTTTGATTATTCTTAGTTATCTAAAATGTATAAGCATATTGTAAATGCATATAATTCTTATATTAACATACAAACATATATGACGTTATATAAAATTAATACATAACGTATATCTATAAGAATGTGGGTATGAGTGTGTATTCAGATTCATTTTTGTACCTCTACGTCAGTAAATTTTTGCTTTTTATGTAATATCCTTGAAAAATTTATATTCAGATTGTGACAGTGTCATTAAAATGAAATGAAAATGGATTGATGCTGAAGTTTTAAAATTTAGATGGTAATTACGCGATGTCTTCAATTTCAAAATAGATTGACATTATTTTTGTTTAAAAAAAAATTTTTTTCAAAACTTGGAATGGAACTAAAACAGAAAATTAAAAATGTGAATGCGGAAATTTTATTTTCCAATGATAATGTTTTCAATGTTTAAGAGTAAAAATTTTTTAAGAAAACAAAATCAAACACACGAAAACTTTCCATTTCAATTTGGTTTTGTGTGTATAGATGTAGAATAAACCATCAAATTATATTAAGGTAATTATTTTGAGGATTATCGATTGAAGGAATGCTAATTAAATGCAAAGGATGTTCTATTTATATTTAACGATAATTTAATCTTAAGTTATTGAAAATGTTAAAAAGTAATATTTTATTTTTACAGGGAAACAAAATTTATATTTAAAATTGGTTTGAGGTGATTAACACAATCAGAGTCATAAAAACAGTAATAGATAATTACATAAATAAAATATCATAACTTATTGAGAAACTTTGAATTTATGAATAAGGAGATAACGAAAATAAGTTCATTTAAGCTAGAATTCGAATAAGGGATATATGCATAGTTAAATAAAATGTAGTTTATATTCCATATGTAGGAATACTTTTGAGAAAGCTGGTACCAATGTCGACATACATACATATAAAATGTGGAAAATAAATTGATAAAATCTTGTGAATTAATTAGGTGCTAAAATTTTAGCAAATAATAAAGATTCTATTTCAGTTTTTTCTTTTATGATTGTGTAAGTGCATTACAGAATCTTGAAATTACATGGTTTTACAATTGCGTCTACATGATAATCAAGCTTCAATCAAGCCTTCATATTAAAAGATTTGAAATTGTAATTGAAATTGCAATTAGATTTTATTAAATTGTTTAAATAAATTGAGTTTTTTTAAATAAGGTACATTTTTATAGTACTTATGTATTATAAAATTAAGGATGTGAAAATAAAGTATTAAAACTTTGGCCTTATCCAAAACGGTCTATATCTTTGAGAATACTTATAATTTGGACATTATATATTATATATAAAGTGACTTCACTCACAATAAATATGTATTCAAATACTGCTGTTTTATTTTGTTCTAACAAAAATTCGGTGTCAATTACATTTAATTTCTAGGGTCTACGAGAAAAATTTAAATTTCATATTAGCCCATATATCATTAAATTATCCAACGAGATTTTTATTTGGTATTTATGTAATAATGTATAGTACACATACATTTCCTTCTATATATGATACTGTATATAATAAAGGCGCCGATTTGTATCATTATGAAAATATTTAAGGTTCACGATATGCCAGAATGAGTTCATCACTCTATTTTATTATTTTTTATTACATTTTTTACTCTTTCATAAATTGCCGCATTTTTTGTGTAGAAGTTTTCAAAATGGAATTAGTTTTAAATTTTTTTTTGTTTTTTATTTTCAAAAAAAAATCTATTTAAATTTCTATAATTAAAAAATTCTTCATAAATTACAAAATTTTTTTTTTGTGCTACATATAGTATATGCATATTAGCAAAAAAATGTGGGATCCTTTGTTTATGCAATATTATATTTGAAAATGAAGTATTAATTATGCTTTAGTTGTTTTAAATTTAAAATAAAAATGTAATTTAAAATATTTTTTGTACGTTATTTTCACATAATATTTTTTTAATAGTTGTTAGAATTATAAAAATATGAATTCAATTGAATAGCTGTGCACACATTCATGTTTCATTAAAGAGTTTATACAACTATAACTGTGTTATTGGGAAAAAATTATCAAAAAAAGTGTTATACACAAATACTGTTAGATTTTTTTCTCCTTTAATTACATAACATTATTTTGTTATAAAAAAAATAAGGTGAATTAATTTTAAGAGAATTTTGACTGCAAACATGCAATTAATTTTTATTTATGCACTTCTGGATATAAAAAATATGCATTTATGTATGTATGTAGATTTTATTTGTTTGGGCTTAAATTTCAATATGTGAAAATATTTTCTTTTTTTTAATTTTCAACATAAATAAAATTACAATTTATTCATAGAACATTGCGTAGATATTTTATTGTATCTGAGATAGTTACGTTTTATAATATTTTCAATTATAAAACCCGAATAAGTAGATCCTATCATGTTAACTCTGTGATAACTGTATAAATTGTCCGTTCTATGAGTCGCATGTGAGTTCAACCAAATTATTATTTTAGTTGTATGGCAGCATCCATTTTTTTGAACTTTAAAAATTTCAATCACTTTTTATTTTTGGGAATGGTATCCATAAAAATAAATTTATTTGTACAAAATTTTAACATTGTGCCTCAAATAATAAGTTTTTAAGATAGTCTGAAATGATTTTTGAAGTCATATGGCAACTACCAGAATGACTCATTTTAACTTTTTTTCTACGATTATAAGAGTTCTATTGAATATTCAAACCCAAATTCAGTTTCTATGCTGAATCTATTAGTTTTTGAGTTACTGTTAGAAAAGACGGTTCGTTTCACTTGCAACGCTAAAAATAATCGGTATCATCCATTCTAACATAGTTCTTACGAATATAAATAGTAAAATTTTATTTTTCAGACCGAAATTGGGATTGAAATTTTCTATCCTAATTGTGTTTTTTTTTTAATACTTTTAATTTATTTTATTTCAATCTTTTTTAAACTTTTAAGAAAGCAAATGTTCAAAATAAAGTGGAAGGAGCATTAAATATAATAATTAATAAATATCGCCTATGTTGTGTTTAAATTTCCAAGGGAAAAAATAGCGTTTACGTTCTAGTTAAAGAATATTGATAGCAATATCTATCAAATTGTAATAATTTATCAAATTTTTCGGATTTTCTTAAAAAGTTTTTATTAGGAAATTTATTAAAATATTTTTTTTTTAAACTCTTGTTAATAAATTATACTGTTATAGTTGGAGAAACATTATTTTTATATTTCAATGCTTAAAATTGAAAATTTAATTCGAAGTGGGGAGCTAATCATAATTTTTATTCGTTTAGTTTTCAAGGCATTTGTTTCATTTGAATATATATTAATTTTTGGAGAGTTTTTATAATGGTTGCCCATTAATCATTAGAAGAATTAATTTGATTTCGATAAATAATATGTTCATGCTTGTCATCTCTAAATTTTATCTAGCTTATCAGAACGAAAAAAAAACAATCAGTCAAACTGAGTAAATCCTTCTAGTGATTTAAGGTGTGGATTTGTGGGAACGAAATTTTTTTTAAAAATCGTTATCATTAATATCAGATATTTGCAAAAGTAAAATATTGAATAATTCAAATTTAGTTTTTGAGAATAACGTAAAATCATTGAAAATTCTAATTTAAAAAAGCAATCTACATACAGGTATATGCAAATGTATGCATAAACTCTTAGAATTTTCCTAGTTTTACTGGAAAATTCCAAAATTATTTCAAAACAAAAAGTTTTTGAATAAAAAATTAATGTAAAGTTTAATTAAAAAATAAAATATCTCGCTTACCTTCAAATTTTTCGTATATTGTAAAATCTAGTTTCTCTGGAATCAGTGACGATCTTCTTGGTGCAACATCGCTATTACCAGATTTATCTGCAGTTATAAAGGAAGCTACCTTTTTTAAAACATTACTGTCACTAAAAGATCCAAAACAGGAAGGCGATAAAGTTTGACTTGTTTCTGTGTCATGTTCGGCATAAGATTGCGATGAAGTACCTTGTACGTCATGTAAAATTTTAGGAGAAATTCCTGTAAAACATAAATGGGAACCAATCAAAGTATGCACGTTAAAAAGTATTTAAATTCAGATTTCTTAATAAATAAGAGTAGGATAGAACTTTCAAGTGTTCCTATTATTGTATCGTAAATATGTATACTTTCATAAAATTTTGGAATGGCATAAAATAAGAAATGTTTTTTGGAATATGGAATTTAGACAACGAAATAGACATAATATGTAGAAAATTAAGTTTTTTGACAGTTTTATATAATTTTATTTACCAGCTAAATTATTATCCGCTAATCTTGATGAAAGATTTTGTAATTCAACTTTTTTAGCTCTAGCAACATTAAAGATTCCTGGCGATGTTGTTGCATCAACTCTTGTTTTTTGATCTTCATTACTCAACATTTGAGCTAATTTATTACGTAAATGTATAGCCATTTGTAAATCGTCTTCTGGTGATTCACTATTACTTTTCGAATTACTGCTATCTATACTCAGGTACACAATTTCAGAACGTGAAAGTTTTTCTAATACTGATAAGGTTCTTATATATTTTTGACGTTTCCAATACGGTGTACTTGTGCTATTCCTTTTTGAAAATTGTGAAAAATCATTTAGTGAATCACTTCCATTTTCAATTGATCTAAACGTTGTTTCATTATCAGTTGCACAACTTGGAGATGTTATCGGGTCAGTAAATATTGATTCGGATTCTGTTGATGATTCTCTCAATCTAATAATACGGCAACTATCAATTTGATCTTCTGTAACAACCATAAAAAAAATGTAAATAATTAATACAATTTTAAACTTGTTATAATAAAAATTTTAAAACATTTTAAAGTTTACTGTAGAGTGAAGATCAGATTTGGCTTATGATAAATTTTGTATTAAGAAAGGAAAGAACATAAAAACTCATTCATTTTGAAATTTCATAAGAAGTTTCAACGAAAAGTTTCAGTCTGAAAAATTTCGGGTTTGTCACTAATATTGCAATTCTAATGAATATGTTTATAATGTAAGTCTTAAATTTCTAAATAAATGGACTTTAAATTGATGATACAAGTTCAAATTGATCTACATATATAAAAATATAGAAAAGACTTAAAAATTTATTACCAATGCAGAACCGACTATTATTTTTAATTTCTTTATTTCAAAATGTTGTTTTTTTTTTTGTGAAAGTACTAAAGGCTCCAATTTGACGGTTCCAAATTATTTTAACGTCAAATTGAATTACAGTACAATTTTAATTAATACGCAATCTAAAACATAAAAAATATATTATTCTCGTATATGAAATAAAAAATAATTATAATATTTTTTTTTATAACTTTGTATTGTAGTTTGAAATTGAAATTGTTAATTATTTTTAGTAATTATTTGCAATTAAAAAATTGCTATAATTTTATGTAATATGTGTTTCATTTCTCTAATATTAAAATTTAAATCTGTACTAAGGTTAAAAATCTAAATCAAAACCTTATAAACTAAAAAGCATGATAATTGTTGTTTTCAATACAAAATGTTAAATTAACCGTAACGACGTAGAGCAGCAATGATTGTCATAAAGCACATTTCCAATTTGAACTACAACAATTTAAACCAGAACTGCAAAAGAGTAAGAAAACAAAAAAAACTTTAAAGTGTCTTTGGTAATTCATGCTTGGTTCCCTGACATCTCACCATACGAGACATTTCATCATTGTAACATTTCATCATTGTAACATTTCATCATTATAGCAATTCATCATTGCACATTTCAACATTATAGCAATTCATCATTATTGAATTTCATCACCATAACATTTTATCATTGCATAAAGTGCATTTTGCAAACATAAGTACATGTAAGTGTAATTAATGTTGAAGCAGTTTGCAGTTTTGTTGCACAGTGCAGCTACTGACAGTCGCCAATACAATTTCAATGGGCATTCTGCTTAGCAATTTGCTTATTGAATTTATATTGGCGATCGCCGAGCGCTTCATAATTTACATGGGCAACTTACCAATTTGCCCAGTGAGAAATTGTGCCACAGTGATCAAAGCATTTAAATTAACTTTTGCTTTTAAATTAAACGAGAAAAAAAATAGAGTTGACCTTGTCAACTCTGTGATACCCGTACGAATTTGTCATCCTATGCGCGAATAACTAATGTGCCATAACTAACTATGGGGCAGACTATGACTTTAAGTTGCCATATTACCATATTAATTTATGCAAAATTTCAGTACTATGTGTTATTCAAAATACTGGTTGTGCCAAACTACTATTGATGTTGTATGGCACTTACCAGAAAGAGCCAGAAAATTTTAGCGAATTTTATCAAGCACATCGGCCCTACTAATATATTCACTTGTGTGAAATCTCAATATCACAGCTTTTATAGTTTCTGAGATATAGTCAAATAACTTTTGAAGTTGTATGGCAGGTACAAGAAGGAGCCAAGTAATTTCAACGACTTTTATAAGACACATTGGCCCTACTAATATATTCGTTTGTGTGAAATTTCAATACCATAGCTTTAATAGTTTCTGAAATATAGTCAAATAACTTTTGAAGTTGTATGGCAGGTACCAGAAGGAGCCAAGTAATTTCAACGACTTTTACGAGACACATCGGTCCTACTAATATATTCGTTTGTGTGACATTTCAATATCACAGCTTTTATAGTTTCTGAGATATAGCCAAATAACTTTTGAAGTTGTATGGCAGGTACCAGAAGGAGTCAAGTAATTTCAACGACTTTTATGTGACACATTGGCCCTACTAATATATTCGTTTGTGTGAAATTTCAATACCATAACTTTTATAGTTTCTGAGATATAGCCAAATAAATTTTGAAGTTGTATAGCAGCTACCCGAACCGGTACCCCGATCATGTCCAATTTAAATAGGGTTCTGGCACTTACTACAATAAATCATTTGTGAAAATTTGGTGGACTTAGCTAAATTAGTTTTTGAGTTATCGTTCGGACGGACGGACGGACGGACGGACGGACAGACAGACAAAGCTAAATCAACTCAGAATTTGACGCTGATCAAAAACATACACTTGAGTCTATATCTAACACCGTTATTTCTTAGCGTTACAAACGGTAAGGCAAATTTAGTATACCCTTCGAACATACGTTCGTACGGGTATAAAAAGAATTGTCTAGATTAATTACTATAGCTTATTATTATATAAATTTAGCTTTAATATCACTTTACCTGAAAGAGCTATACAAGAGATGTTGTAAGTTCGATAGTCAGCTAAGAATGAGGGCACTGCTGCTGTGCACCGAGGGTATATTAAATCATAATCTGATAAGAAATTTGTTTGCAAGGCCAGTTTATCTATGATCTTAAGATCACAGGCATCTTAGTGATGAAATGTTATGGTGATGAAATTCAATAATGATGAATTGCTATAATGTTGAAATGTGCAATGATGAATTGCTATAATGATGAAATGTTTCAATGATGAAATGTCTCGTATGATGAGGTGTCTGGTCACCTTCATACTTATATTATACAAAGAGAAATTTTAATTTTTTTAATAATTGAGGGAGAGAATAGTTTTGTCAATTGAAATAGAAACTATATCGGATTAATAGTATATGTAATTTTCAAAATGCGCATACAAAGCATATTATATGCACATTTCCCGGTTTCTTTGAATTGACTTTTAAGTTTTGTACACAATAATGTTAAAAGCTTATAACAAATATAAATTTTGAATAATTTTGAATTCTCCACGTTTTCGCACGGGAAAATAAAATACCATCAGCAAAAGTGAAGAAAATTAAATTAATTAGTTCAGTGATAATGATTAATGTAATTTTAAAGTTATAGGTTTCTTTAAAAGCTATAAAAAATGCCTATAAACAATGTGAGAAAATCTTTAGTGTCCTTACACATAATGCTCAAAAACAACTGGGTAGCTATTATTTATTCATATTTTACAAAAACGGAAACTTTTTTCACAAAATCAAAAACCAAAATATTTAAGTAAGTATGTGTGTAAATGCTGTATATTGGCTTTTAATCGATTTAAAAAAAAATACATAACTTTATGTGTGTAATGTTTGTACATTAATATTCATTTTTCATAAATTAAATAAGTATATGTATGTGTTAATCATTTTTATATGCAATAATAATTTTATCTTTTATCTAAGCACAAATAAAAATGAATATTGTAATGATTTTTACCGACCGCATTGCCTACAATAAGGGAGGTTATGTAGTGGCACCAAATTTCATATGTCGAGTTTTTAGCGCAAATCTGTTTCTCCATGCTAGAGATATTTTTAGAGAGATTTGCGTTCTTCGGTCTGTCTGTCAGTCTGTCTATGCAGATCAGTATCTCAAATTCGACTGAACTGATTTTCACGAACATTTATATCTGAGTTTTTACTTACTAAAGATTAATGGTTTGATCAACTTTTGGAATATGTCAGGTTTTTGGAACTGGAACTTAAATACAGTGCAAAATTACATTTTTGATCATATAGACAAAAATAATCAATCAAATTACTTGAAATTTCATATTTCAAATCTGGATATTTAAACAATGAACCACTTAATTCAGAAAAATTAGAGCCGATATTCTAGGAAAATCGAGGTTTATTTGGGAGCCGTTTTTATATATTTAATTATATCACAGGAACTAATCGAAAGAAATTTTTAAAATTTAATATCTGAGTTTTAGTTGTTACGAAATTAACTTGGGAATTTGGCAGGGAAACCGAATCGCGGAAAATTAACCCCTACTAAAAACCAAATTTATTTTTTTCCAGGTAAAGCCTACTTTCATAGAATTTAAAATAAATATTTAAGGGAAATTTCATAATCATATGCAACATTTTAACATCTCGGCCGGTTATGCACTGTTCACATCAGATCTTTTATATTTTATATATGGTAATTAAAATTACGCTTTCTACTTTACTGTGCTAGTGAAAAAAATTTTTTCTTAATATTTTCAAACTACAGTTTTTACTTAAGCAACTTTGGCGATATTCATAATTAGCTTCAAGTAAAGTTAATAGGGTTGTCCACGAATTCGCGAGTTACTATTGCTTGAAAAAACCTTGTGATGTTTTTTTAACATGGTATTTTTTGAACATTGAAAATTTGTACTTGTGCTATTTTCAATTTGTCTCAACAATTTTTTGAAAATTTCTAATAATTTTTCTTCATACAGCTTTCAAATATTAAGCAAATAGTCATTTATTTTTTTTTTAATTCATTGAATTCCAAATATTTACTTCACAAGGGATTTGGACGACCAAAAAAATATTTTAATATGCTTTTCTTTAATGTTTTGACTGATTTTATATACATATATTGCGTGTTAGAATTTTTTAATTATTTTATCACTTCTTTATTTGTCATTCTCGAATAAACTAAAAATTACTTGTGCCAGGCGCAAAAAACTATTGAAGATTGTAATATTGATAGAAATACATACAAGTAAGATTTATACGAATTTTTAAATGGATAATTTTTAGGTGTCGTTTGCATATAACGTAAATACATATACGATAAAGTTTAATATTAAATCTACGATAAAGTCTGACGACTCTTTAAATATCAGACTGTAATTATCTGATGGAGCTCAAAATTACTTCAAAATTTAATAATTTGTTTTGCATTTCAAATTAATTAATAAGTATAACCAATTCTAATAATTGGATAAAATGCAAGATTAATAAAAATACTTAATTGTATCAATAAGTAATTATTATAAATAATTCATAATAATTAATACATAATTTTTATAATAATAAAAATACGTGATCGGTTTTATAAATTAAGTGTCAAACAAAATACAATTGTTTGCCGTTTGTTCAAAATTATTTACAATTGCCAACCGCTTTTTATTGTCGAAAGCGTCGAATTGATCAGTAAAATTTCGTCGACTGTGGAAGAAGCTTTTAATGTTAACCTTTCAACAATGAGTGATAAAAGGAAATGGAAAATGTACTCGTTATTACATTTTTTTTGAAACTTTATTTTCATATTTATAGACCTAAAATTTACTAAGAGTATGGATGTATATGTATATCCACTTCTAAAAAAATGCGCGCCATAACAGAAAAATCACTTTGATAGTTAAAAGTTCTATATGCATCCACTGAGCCGATTTTAATAAATATAAATATTCTATTCGTTTTTCTCTTATCGTTTTCAAATTAAATAAACAGAAGTAGTTTGTCTAATTTGAAAACGACTTCTTGTAATAATTGCTTCAAAAAGTCTTCACTAGTGATAACTGACAAAATTTGTTTTTAGTAATAATAAAAGCGGCAACCATCTGTACTTGAAACAAAATTTATTTTGTTTACCTAACTTATTGCATTTAGTACATAAACGTCATTTAATATTATCATAAAAAAAGCATTGCTATTAAAATGACACAATGTTGTATTGCTTTACAATTCAGGATTTACAAATCATAAGAAAAATTATTCTATTATCTAGTAATATTGTGTTCCTGCAATTTTGAAGTAAAAAAAATTACTATTACAAAAACAAAAGTAATCTATATATGTATTTACATTTAAAGTAATTATTAGCTAGTGAACAACTTTAAACGTCTTAGTCTTCACAAATTGCACTGTCAGTATTTAATAGTATTTTTGGAAAGATCTACAGTGTAATAAATAATGTATCTACATAAAAATCATGTTATTGTGTATATTTAGGAAACACTGTTTTAATACAATATTTACGACATTGAGTATTTTCGCAATACATAACATAATTACAAATAATGATTGATGAATTACAGTTTGGCAACCCTGCAAACAAACATATTCTTGGATTTACACATTTCTATTATTTTTAAATAGTGAAAAAGTGTAAGAAATAATTGACATTATACAAAATATTCTTTTGTTAAAGAATTAATACAACATTGGTACACACATTTGTATTTATTTTTGTGCCCACCTGTGAAAGAAAATCGCTGTTGTGCTGCAATGGTTTCTAATAATTTAGCTGTTTTCCATGAATCTGTTTGTATTATTAAGAGTTTTTCACTAGTATTTGAGTTAATTAAATTTTTTTCAATAGTTTTATATAATAATTTAACATCTTCTAAACTTTTTGAAACTTTTAAATTTAATTTATTCTTTTCTTCTAATTCGATTTCACTTTTTTCAGCATACAAAAAATTATTATTTCCACACAAAACAGAACCACCATCAACCGATCGTAAAATGTCACTAGCCGTTCCTGTAATAGATGTAGTTTGAGAATGTATATCAACATTTTCAGCAGAATATTTGTTGTTTGTGTTAGTAAGCTTACTACTACTATTATTCTCTTTTATTTCGTTTTCAACTTCGTCAACATTAATTGGCACGGTAGATGTGATATTTTTAAACATATGGTCTTGTTGACTCTCTGCTACAATAACATTGTTTACAATCATGTTATTATTACCATTTAAATCTGTTAAGTAATCGGTTGTTAATATTGGTGTGTAAGTTGATGGCATTGTGATGTTTGTTGGTGAAATTACTTTATTTTCATTCTCTTTTATTTTTGAAATTTTTATTTCAGCAAACATAATATTCTCATGATTTTGTTTTTCACCAACAAAATCTCTTTTTTGTTGTTGCTTGCTGTTTATTTCGGCCATTATGCTATCAAAAAGATCATTACCATTATTGCCGGTTTCGCCATACATCTTATTTTCGTATTCATTCCCTTCACTTGATGTAAAACTTATTGACGATGGTGTTGGTGTTGAGTTTTTGTACTCTTTTGCTTCTGACAGAGAAGAATTTTTTTTAAACATTATGTCATTGATTTGAGATAGCATTTTTGTTGCATTAACAGATTTTGTTGCACAACATTGTTTTGTTTTCAAAATCAAATGTTCTTTTGGGTTTTTGATGCTAGTCATATCTGTTAAATAAATTAAATAAGTATACATAAACATACATATCTCGTACATTTGTATACATTACGATATGGCATAAATAAAACATTAATACGCTGAATCAAGAAATAACAACCTTATTAAAATTTTCAAATTGTAAGCAATTAAAAGGAGTTTGTTTTAAATAACAGAGAAAATAACATAACATTGATAGATTGATAATATTGATAATTGCACCTAAAAAGCACATATAATCATAATACAGTTTTTTTCCATCAAACATGCAACAAAAAATCTCGTTAACCGATGCTTGATGACGGTTTTAACACATTAAAAATTTACCACTGGACATCAAACTGCTTTCAAAAAACTTATATAAAAAAGTATGTACGTTACAGGTAGATAGGTATGTATAATTAATTTACAATAATAATCAATATAGGAACAAAAAATTATGTAAGTACATTTTGTTCTTAATATATAAATTTCAAAAATATTTAATTAATATAAAAAGTAAACACAACAGAACTCAAGCCTCTTACAAATAAAAATATTTACAACAATAAAATTAATTTAAAAACTTATAAATTACACTGATCGACTCAATACACGCAGCTACTGCGCGATTTTAGCTTAATTAAATTTAAACAAGTAAAAACGTTTCAGTCAGTATAAACCGATTGAATTATACCCTGCACCTTTCGTTATTGTGTAGCAATTACACGAACCCGTGAAATCATTCTATAGAAACTTCACGGATATGTCTGACCTATAATTGGACATCCGACTGCCAAGTTTCATGAATCTGACTTTATTATTTTTCCAAATATTAAAAATAAGCTTTTAGGCTTGTATGGTATCTACTCGAACCTGTCAAGCAATTCCACCAAAACTTCAGAAATATATCTGACCTGTAACTCGACATACAAGTGCCAAGTTTCATGAATCTGACTTTATTATTTTTCCAAATATTTAAAATAAGCTTTTGGAGTTGTATGGCAAGTACCCGAACCTGTCAAGCAATTCCACTAAAACCTCACAAATATATCTGATCTACAATCGGACACACAACTGCCAAGTTTCATGAATCTGACTTTATTATTTTTCCAAATATTAAGAATAAGCTTTTAGACTTGTATGGGAGCTACACGAACCTGCCAAGCAATCCCACCAAAACTTTAGAAATATGTCTGACCTATAATTGGACACACGACTGCCAAGTCTCATGAATCTGACTTTATTATTTTTCCAAATATTAAGAATAAACTTTTAGACTTATATGGGAGCTACTCGAACCTGCCAAGCAATTCCACCAAAACTTCAGAAATATATCTGACCTATAACTCGACATACAACTGCCAAGTTTCATGAATCTGACTTTATTATTTTTCCAAATATTTAAAATAAGCTTTTGGAGTTGTATGGCAAGTACCCGAACCTGTCAAGGAATTTCAATAAAACTTCACAAATATATCTGATCTAGATGCCAAATATTTATTATTATTGCCACTTATTATTTTGCCAAATATTTAAAATTAGCTTCTGGAGTTGTATGGCAGGTACCCGAACCGGTGCAGCTATCCCATTATAATTTTTAGAGCATGTGTAGAATATAATTGGACACATGTATACAAAATTTTATATTTATAGCTTTATTAGTTTTCGAAATATTTAAAATAAACTCTTTGAGCTGTATGGCAGCTACCCGAACCCGTTGTCCGAATTAGTCCAATAACAATAGGGTTCGTCCTTGGCACAAAAGAAAAAACTTGTGAAAGTTTGGTGTCGATTGCATTATTCGTTTTTGAGTTATCGTGCGATCGGACGGACGGACGGACGGACGGACGGACGGACGGACGGACGGACATGTCTAAATCGACTCAGAATTTTACGCTGAGCAAGAATATATATATATGTCCATACCGCAGATGACTCCTTCAAGTAGTTACAAACTCCATACCAAAGTTAATATACCCTTCACGAAGTGCAGGGTATAAAAACGGTAGTCACATACATACCTATGTATTTAGGTATATTTCAATCATTTACGAGCTTCTTGTCAAGTCAAAAAAAGTCAAAGATAAGTAGATAATGATTTTTGTAATACTTAGTTGAAAGTATGACTAAAAATAATGCTCCAAGGACAAGACTACAAACCTATCTTGTTTGAAGTTCTATTTCCTTGTCGTCTAAAGAAAATTGAGAGTAATATGTTAATGGCTACTAAATTTTTTTATATTAAATTTTTTTCTATTATAAAAGAGTAGCAGAATATGATCGTATTTAAGTACATATGAACACTTGTTTTTTATACAGATTCTTTCAGTTTAAAAATTGTTCCGTCGAACAAAAAATTAGTAAAAATGTTATGATTAAATTCTGTGAATCAGTAAAACAGAAATATACTAGTATTTTCTAAGATGCATTACATAATGTTGCCATATTATGTAATTGAACATTTAAAAAAGATTTCAGTCTTCAAAATAAAATAAATATTGGAAATCAAGGTTATACCCTGAAAATACAATATTCAAATAATATCACAAAAATATTCTCTCACAAATCATAGAATCACGTCATAGAAAATCGATGTGCACAATTAACCTAATAAACAAAATTTGGATTTAAGTCCAATAGAAACCGGGTGCTGAAAAATTTTTCTGCAGCAAATCTATTAAATATCAGCATGTGAAAACAATAATTTGATTAATGAAAACGATGGTGTATAAAAATCCAAAAAAAGAAATTTAAAAAATCCTTTTCGCTGTTTTCATTTTTATGAAAAAAATTTTGCAACTTTAATACGTTGGACAACAAGAGTCCTTTAAGTGATAAAACTAAATGGACCAGGTATGCGGCATGTTCTAAAAAAAATTGATCCCATATATTTGATTGTAAGCCACTAAAAACACCGCACATTCGCACCATATCTGAATTTGATTAGCGTGCGGTGTTAAATCTAAAAAATTATTGGAATTTTTTTTGAAGTTTTTTTACAAACAGCGATCATATTTTTTATTAAAAACACATTTATAAAGCGTAGCCCATGACCGCATAATGCGTCCATTTAGGTTTATCATTGCTTGTTTCAAAAAATCTCTCAAACCTCAGACGTTTCATGGAAAAATCGAATCAATTCAATTAAAAAAAAATCAATTGAAAGTTTTTGGTGTAGATATTGCTAATTATTATTTTGAAGAGCTGCATTTTGAAGCGCATTATTTTTGTATATGTACATATATGCAAAATTTATGTACCCTCACGCAAAATTGTATAAAAATTATTTTCTTTTGTATCCATGAAACTTGAGATACAGTTTCTTGCTTGCAACATTTTGGCTTTTGAGGTTTATGAACTGTGATTTTTCGGTATGTTTTGTTTGAGAAAATTTAAGTAGAAGAGTGTATCAATGAATAGGGAATTATTTTTGAAATGTACAATAAAATATAATTTATTCCCTTTTCTCGTATATGCATTCTGGGCTGAAATTGTTGAATAATAAAAGGAAGAAAAATGTTATTTTAATCGAGACATAATATGAAATTTTAAATGTGGTTCATTTAAAATAAAGGCAAAATCAAATTTGAAAGTACATTAGCAATTTTAAAGAATGGTGATTTTTATGATTATACTTAAGAAAATTTATTTTTAAATTTTTCAGAAAAAATTATCACATATGGTTATACGGCTCTACAACTTTTCATTACTAACTCAATTTCTGTGAAATAATTCAGAATTTACTATAATTTATTAACTTATTTGTAAAACTTACTAGTGCAGGATTGGAAATAATTAGGAATATTATTATTTCAGTACTGATTTACTAAACATAAAAAAAATGTAAAATCCTTAATATGAATTTGAAGCCAAATATAAATTTAATGAGCAACTTTCAACTGGTTAACAGAAGTTAAGGGCGTTGTACCTTTGAGCTGAGAATATTTTTGAAGCCGTGTTTTACAAGCTTTTATTTTCTAATAAGAATAATTAAAATAACATAAATTTGAATTACTCATCGTACAGACACTTATTTAATAAAATTTTTTTTAATTTAATTTCGAGAAAATTTTTCTTATAAATGAGGTTAGTAAAATTGTTTTCACAAAATTAATTTAGTTTTCATACTTTTTATTAAATTTAATTGTCTGTTTTTTGTTGTTTTTTGTATAATGAACACGTACCGAAAAGCAGAGCTACAACTATTCTTTTAATTTCTTTTGCATTTAGATCTTTTTTAAATTCAAAACAAGAGTAATAATGGATAGTAATAAAATATGTCAAACCGCAAGCTCTAGTTTTATTATTTTTTTTTTTAATTTGGAACCTAAGGCAAAAAAAGATAAAAATAAATTTTACGTGGCATGAACGCAATAAGGAATAGAAATATAGGAAATAAAAAATTTAGCAAATCCAATAGTTTTCGATTCAAATGTTTGTCTCTAAAGATTAACTCACGTTTACCTTTTAATTTATGTTTGTTTTTTTTTTTTTCATTCTATTACATTTTTAATTTCAATTCTTTTTACACATTTCCTTTATTTGGATAAAGTCATTATAGCTGTGATTAAGAACTAAATGTTACTTTTTTTTCAATATAATAAGATAAAAGGATAAAATAAACGAAAATATTAAAATAAATAAAGGAGACTTGAGCGAGAATAATTTTCGAATAGCAAACAACGGCATTCCTGCTATTCATAAGATTTCGATTATTCAAAAAATATAATCATACAAATGACATATACATACTTCTATAATTAAAATAAATTTTGGTTATTGAAGTGAATTAATGATTTTACATTCTAAAATAATATTATAATATTTCAAGTTTATGTTTTGATTCTCCATTGCAGTAGAATGAACGGTTTGCATCAGAAATTTGAAATTAGAGTATAGATATATTAAATTATTTATCAGGATTTTTATAAAAAAGTGACAGAATCATAAAAAAAAGTTTATTCAAGTTAAAAGTTTATTTAAAATTCATCTCAAAACTTAATATCAAAAAATAGAGATGAACTTAAAT